ATGTGGACATGTTTCGTAAACAAAGCTCCTCAACCAATGACAGCGTGTTAAATGTGTCAGGTGACGAAGACGAGCATCAAAACACTTTGCAACAAGCGCTGTTCCGGATTAAAAAAAAACATACTTCGACGTTTCAAATCATTTTCAAATTTGGAACAAGGGCAGATAAAATAATGTTCTTCATGGCAGCTTATCTCTTTAAGGTTCATTAGAAAAACTCAGGTGATTTACTTTGATCCTCTTTTCAAAAAAAATGTCTCTTCAAAACGCATCAACAAAAATTTAAAACTGGAAGACGAGGCTGTAGCTAACTACCTGACGGCAGCCCGATTTGTTGAAATTCGTAGAAATAACGAAGCAGGAGGAAATTACAAGCAAACGCACCGAGCAGCCTCGCAAAATCTGCTCACAGCAGTTTGGGAAGAAAATGGCAGCAGCTGCTGACGACATGTCAACATCCCTACAAAAAATATATCATCAACAAAGAGATGTGGCAAAAAAATAAATAAATAAAGATTTTGTTTAAAGGCCCAAAAAACATGTCAGTTCTAAAAACTGTGAATTTTCTGAGTATTTCTAAAAGTGTTAGGCTTTTAAAAAAATGAATACTAATTTAATGTTTAAAAAGGTTGTGTCACTGAAATAACTGGTTTGTTTTAACTTCAATTTGTTTTATTTCTAGTTCTGCCAAGATGCTGGCAGCCTCGTTTCTGAACCAAGTCACCCAGTAAAGGCTTTCCCCACTTTAACAAGCCGATCCTGGATTACTTGAAACAGACTCAGGCCAGTTATTTGGACAATAAAGCTCCTCTGTCTTCTGGAAGAGCAAACACAACAGACTGCAGTTAGTGTTCAGCACCTGCAGGGACAAGCTGAGTGCCGCTGAGCACCAGTGGAGCTGGGTATAATATGAGATCCAGGTTGAGATTGATGGCCAGGGTTTCTGAGAAGCCAGGCTCTACTTATTTTGTCGGGACACTGAAATAGGCACCTGCTGCTTGGAGCCGTCAACAGAGAGGACTACAGCTCTGTCAGACTGATGGAAAAAAAAATTACTCATATATTTTTTATATTGAAGGATTTATAGCTCAAAAAGAACATCCTGCTCAAACCTGAAAAAACCCAGCTGGTAAATGTCACAGATTTTCAGCTTTAAGATTGAGAGTTTGGACAGTGATGGAGAATGCAAATAAAAAAGAAAAATGGCATCATTATTTTGTATTATTTTAAATATCCTAAGCCTAAAATACTCATAGAAAGTCTGAGCACTTARAGACGTGCTGCTGCTGCCTACCTGGTGAAGTGCTCCTTCGATTTCAACTGGAATGATAAAATCTGCGTTGTTCAGTGGCTGTTGGAATAAAAACAAGTGGATTAAAGAAACATAACAATAACATTATTTTAAATATAAGAAACGTTTTAATGTCGCCTGATGAATTAAAGTTCTGTATCACAGCAAAATTATATAAAACAATAAAAAATGTAATCTTTTGCGCATTTCAGTTCTCCTGAAGTCTCCAGAAAAGCCCAGTGCAAACACAACAAATTTTCAGAGGTGTCACACAAAATCCAGTGAAATAACAACAGCTAAAGGTTTGTTATGCTTTTACCAAGAAATATCTATAAACAATCATGTTTTACTTCAATACTTGTCTTTTTCTTGTAATATGTTGGATGGTATTTTGTAGTGTTGTGTTACTAAAATATAGTTTTATCTAAAATGTGCTCAAATCCATAGAATCAGCACAAATTTTACTCTGTAATTTGACACTTTTAACCTTTTGTAATGCAAAAAAATATCATTTTTTAATGAAAACCAACACATTGGAGGGAAAAACACTGAACATTGTCATTTTAAACACATCCATCCTTCAATCCATTTATTTCGTTCCTCCTATCTGTGGCTGGTTTACAGAGGCAATTTGTTCGGGGGGTGAAATTTAACATGCTTCTCCTGAACGACCTCCAGGGCTTCCTGGGGGATCCTAAGGCATTTCCTGGCCATAGAGGATATATAGTTTCTGTAGAGAGTTCTGTATTTGCTCCAGGGTCTCCTCCCAGTGGGGTGTGCCTGGAAAACCTCCAAATGGAGGCAGCCAAGAAACATCCTAATCAACCACCTCACCTCAGATGAGGAGCGGCAGCTCTGCTGCTTGTCACTTATTGCCCAGCTACCATGTCACTTCCATTCTGTGTGCTAAGAAATAATTTATTAACAGGAAATGTGTTTTACTGAACATTTCATGTTAAGTGTTGCCATTTGGCTTAATGATCTAGCTACTTGTAAATATTGGAGGGTAAGTGTGTCAACTCAACCAGAGTTTGGCAGCTAAAACTTTAGATTATGTTAGTAAATACTGTAGTTTAAAGCAGTGGTTCCCAACTTTTTTAGACTTGAGCCTTTTGTCATACAACTAGTACCCCTTCAGTCAAACGTAGTGATGATTCTCCAAAACTATAATGTACAGCAACTGTTTAATAAATGAAAAATATTTATTTAACCCCATAGAATGTTTAATTCTCAGGCATTTTATTCTCTTCAACTCAAATTAAACATAAAGATAAATACTTTGCACTGAAAGCAAATATGTAATTAAATAAATAAACCAGGTAATGGCAGGTGCAGGAAGCAGCAGCGTTCAAAATACATCAAATACCCCAAATGAGCAAACTCCATGAGATTATACAGGATTCTATTTTGTGTCAATTTCATGATTCTGTTTGCGTTTTTCACATTGTGGAAATCATTGGGCCCTACATATCCCAGTTCAGGGTTTATTTATTGTTTTACACACCTGGGAAAATTTTCCACGTACCCATTGTAATATGCTCGCATACCACAGGAGGTACATGTACCCCTGGTTGGGAATCATTGGTTTAAAGAAGTAAAGTCAGTCCCCTGGTGCTGCACTGTRGTTGCTACTGATTGTATGTGTTTTTAGCCACTGAAGAAAGGTGTGATTGAATGTGAGAAGATGATAAATCACTCAATAGACCTCTGAAAACCTCACCCCCCTCACTTCTCTTTCTTTGTCTCTTTCCTGTCCCTCAACCAGCCAGTCGAGGCAGATGGTCTCCTGTCCTGAGCCTGGTTCTGCTGGAGGTTTCTTCCTGATTAGCAGGGAGTTTTTCCTCTCCACCGTTTGCTCAGGATGGGAGACTGTGATGAAGTGATTCAACGCAGCCTGCTGGTTTCTTCTTTAGATTGTTCGTTTTTATGTACAGTGCCCTGAGACAACGTATGTTGTGACTTGGTGCTATATAAATAAAATAAACTTAAACTTAAACTTCTGAGATCGTGATTGTGGCCTTGGTGTTTAGAATGAAGTAGGTGAAATCCAGAAAATTGTGCACAAACACAAGATCCAAAACAAAAGCTAGAAAACATATTGACAACCCACTGATGCGTTAGAGTCACACGTGAGCTCTCTGGCAGCAATGTACGATCATCTGTCATGTCTTGTTGAAAAAAATAGCCACATGAGCTTGGTAATAATTTGGAAAACCATTGTCACTCAACACAGTCCACCACTGCAATCATAAATGTGGTGTGAAACTTTGTTATGGAAGGTGGAAGCTGTATATCAACTCTGTGTTGAAATGGAAACTTCTTTGGACACGTGCTCGTCTCAAATAGACACAGTGAATGAAGACGTTTTAACTGCTTTTGGGGGAAAACTGGTTGTGAAGTTCATCTGTTATCAGAGCAAAATGTGGTCAGATTTTGGATTTGTATTAAAGGAAACCCTGTGAAATTTCTGAAATCACGTACGCAGTCTGTGTTAAAGTTTGTGGTGGATTCAGCAAGACCATCWGTACTTTATTCTGCACATCTCATGAAAACAGAGTGTGGTCTACATTTGGCCCAGATTAGTCTTCTATTGAGAATCGATCAATAAAGAGAACCGATTCTTAAAAAAGATTTTGTCCACAATCCATCTGTTTCACTGGCTTTCATTTACTCAGCTCCTAAACTGAGTGACCCAATGCTATTCTTAGATTATGTGTCAAAGTGGTAATTTATTAATCTCGTGAGGCTGTTCTTTACACGCAGCTAACGGCAGTATCACGAGATTGTCGACTGAACACAACTGTACATTCATATTCACGTTTAGCCAGTTCTTAATAGTTTTATCAGCTGCAGCAATGAGTGATGAAAAGAGTTCCAGTTTCTGTGTTATATTAAGGACAAAGTTAACAAAGTTTGAGCTTGTTTACACATATCTTGTATCGATATCAGTAACATCTTCTAGGGAAAATCTGAGACCTGAGAAGGACTGCGCACCATGTGGCATTCATTACATAATTTGTCATGAAACAGGAGCCCGTACTTTTGATGATGATATCATCATCAACTCTATGCTACCATAAAAGGAATCAAATTAAATTAAATATATTGAGGTTATTAAAAAATGTCAAATGAGTAGGATATGTTAAAAACATACTCTTATGTAGAATGTTAATACAAATCACTCAGAGTAAAACAACAAGAAAAGCTTCCCCCAAAATTCTATCGCCAAGACAAAAAAAAGGAAAAAGTCCCACTTGTACTCTATTTTAAAACCACCTTGATCTTTATTTTAAGTTAAAACGTTTTTCAAACTGAACTCCACAAATGACTCAAAGTATTCAAGAATAACAAATAGAGTACAGGCTTTTGCGTCCATTGTTTGCCCTAAAACTAATTAACAATTCTGATGGTCAATTTGACAACATAAACAGTATTACTATAGGAGCTACTTTTTATTTAATCTTCACTTCTTTTAGGTGAATCCTTATTTCATGTCCTGTGGATGAAGGTATTTATCATGACTAAAGTCTTAGTCATGATAAAAACCTTCAGCCAACTATTGTCTCTTTTCCACTAGTGCCACTYAGTGTAGTGTCTGTACAGTTCGGTACGGTTCCAAGCCATTTCCATTAGGCCAGATTCTTGGAACCAGCCCCTTTTTAGTACCTACTTCATTGTGGTTCTAAATGGTCCCAGTCGACACCAAAATGTGACATCAGAACACTGTTCGTCACTGATTGGTTAGGGGGTGGAGTCACTGGTTGTGTCTGAGCTGCCTTTACAACAACAACTCAAGGCACCATTTTTCAATTGTAGTTGCGACATTGGTCGTGTTTCCATCCAACTTTAATTTAAATTTTTGGTGAATTTTTAAAATTTCAGAACATATTTGGCAAATGTGTTTCCATCTCTCATTTTGCGCATTAACTCTTTTTTGAAAAAACCCAAAACCACCTCCACCAATCACCCAAAACACACCCACTGGAACTGGACTGGAACACCAATGGGAAAGCACCCAAACCAACCCGTTCCGATACCAACTGTACCGACACTACTCTATGTGGCACTAGTGGAAAGAGTCAAGTTTATTACTATGAAAAGGTACCGGCCAACTTACCTTAAATGAACTATGCACAAGAGTTTCATCCAAATCAATGACTACACAGATCTTCCCGGGATCATCGGATGTCACTTGTGAAAGTAGTGGTTTCACCGGAACCTGAAGACAAAACAGACAGTTGAGACCTGAAGCTCTGATGGAAATAACTTTTACTAGAAAAAAATGAACTAAATAAAAAGCAAAATACCCAGCAGAAGGAATGCATATTGCCTAATCAAATTGTCAACCTACTGGTTACAGGATGACTCTCCTGATCACTCCACCACAGCTGCCCCAGAAAACGATTAAGATGATCTTATACTGAGAAATGACCAAGCTTTGGTCAAATCCGGACACAAAAATAAGRTCACATGCTGTCTCATTCAAAATAGCAAAATCTTGCTCAAAACCCCTTCACGCTCGATTTATGTGTTGACGATTACTCTCAGCTACTACATTCAATCTGAGTAAAATCAAAGTTACAGCCATTTAATCAGCTGATATTTTGAAAACAGATGGACTTGGTTGACTCAAATATGCACAGTATTGGGGATGATTCATGACCACCAAAACATCTAGTTTTAGCTCAGTGTCTGTCAAACTGACATATTACCATTATTGAGCTTAATAAAGTTGATTAATTGCGGTGGTCATTTTGATTTGTGTTGACTCCAAKCTTTTATCAGTTGTAGATGCACATCCAATCTTTACTTGAGCATTTCAATAAAATCTGTTATCTTGTTTAAAAGATATTTTGCAAAAAAACAGACACTCCCACACACAGACAGGGTTAGATTATTAATTGCCTTTACCCTTTTGGCAGGGGTTGTTAACGAAGGCTAATTAAAGTATAACATTAACAGTATGCTGTGGGGGAGCGATTCAGTTCACTCATGAGACTGATTGTGTTGTTTTCCTGAGTGCTTACAAGAAACCCTGGATGTTACAGCTGCTGCCATGTTGATGGAGCATGTACACATCACCGCATCATGTCCACTCCTTCAACAAGTACTCAGTGATCACAGCTTGTTAATGTGACTCTGTTTCTAAAAACAAGCTGGAATGACCCAATGGGCTGCCGGTGACATTTAATGCACGTGTTGGACCGAGCTGCCTTTTGAACAGGGCCAGACACAGATCTTACAGTTATTCCCTCCCCTTTTAGAGAAGAATGAGCAGCTTTGGTCAGGATTTAGTGTTGAAGCTAATCTGTGTGCTGTTACGGCACAGAGGCGTGTGATACCTGTTGTGTTGGTGGAATGCAGTACTCGCATTCGCAGAGCTCAAGGGATTCATCGTCACTCTGCTCCTCATCGGAATCCCTGGTTTGGGTGGTCTCATTAGCGTGCTTTGAAACAACACTGTGGATGATATCCAGAGGAGGGCTTATTTCTGCAGAAATTTCATCTAGCTCACATTCATTGTCACATTGTTCATTGGGTGCTTTTTCCACAACAGTAATTCCAAATCCAACAGATTTGCTCTCCTCTGAGCAGACTTCAGCATCTTGTGACTCAGTCTCTCCCAGAGACGAAAAATTACCCTTATTCTCATGAGATGTATCGTCATCAAGATTTTCAACTCTGTTTTGTTGGTTTGAATGCCTGTCTTTTATAAATCCATTTGGTTTCCCAGACAACTGAATGCTTTTAATCTGGTATCTGTAGTAATCTTCAACATCTTGCTCACAAAACTCTTCACTTTTCCCCTGATCTATGAGTGCGCAATAAGGCTCTAATTCTGAACATGACAGAAAATCATTGTGCCCTGGATCGGGCTTTTCTTTCTCATCTTTTCTGAGATCAGAGTTCATTTCTGTGTCATCTTTAGGAGAAGTGCTGCCAGGAGAATCACGGTTCTTACTAGCAGAGACTTCATCCTCATAAGCATCACCTTCGACTGAGATTTCTTGGGCGTATGGAGCAAACATACTCTCCTCGTTACCAGAGTGCAGACAGACCTCCAGTTTGTTGTCATGAGAGTCAGAAATATGGCCTTCAGACCCAAAAGTTTCATCATTAATAGAGGCTTCATTATCATTTGTGTCCTCATTGTTCTCCATGAACAACGTCTCTGATCCTTTTTCTTCAGTGTCATCTTTGGTTGAACTCGATTCTGATCTTATGGTCCATTCATCAGACTGATTCTCTGAATCATAAGACACATCTCTCTGCTTTGAGTTTTCCTCATCTGTATCAAAAACTGCATCTTCAAAACATGCATCTTCATCACATTCATTTGATTTGAATGCATCTTCAGAATCATCTTCATCATGCACATTGAATTCAGACGCATCTTCTGAATCCACAATATCATCATTTTCATTGAACTCAGATGCGTCTTCTGAATCCATGTTATCGTCATTTTCGTTTAATTCGGATTCTAAATCCACATTATCGTCATTTTCATTTAATTCAGACATTTCTTCTGAATGCACATCATTGTTTTGTATGTTTAATTCAGCTTCATCTTTAGAACACATGTCATTATCATGTTCACCAACGTCTTCTTTTATGTGTTCCAGTTTATATACAGTTTTGTCACGATGCCTCTGCACTTCCTCCTCAAGATGAAGACGGTCGTGAATGTCTCCCCCATCGAAGCAGGAGACATAATTTCTTTTTTGTGCAAATATATGTCCAAAGCAGTCTGGGCTGTCAAACAAATCAACGAAATCCTCAATAACATCAACAGTTGGTATTTTCTTTTGTTCATCATCACTTCTGTTCAAAGTGATTTTAGGTTTTTCTTTGTCGCTCTCTTCTAGAGATTCCCACTGCGTGGGCTCGTCACTTGAGTCTTCCTGAGCTTCTTCATCTGATTCCTCTGAGTCAGAGCAGGGGTCAGAAAGACAAGTCTTAAAGGATTTGGTTTCCACAGAAGAGCCTTCTGAGGAACCGTCGTCCTCAGGGCAGGACTCTACACTGTTCCCAGATTGGCACCATTGGGTTGACTCATACTCACAATCGTCATTTCTAGACAACTCATCTGTTTCAGAAGTTTCTTTAAAGATTTGTTCTTCTGTAATCAAATGCATCTCGCCAACATCACTTTCATAGGGGAYATCAGTGAAATCTGTAATGTCCTCTTCATCACTGAGCTCCCCTTCATTTCGTACAGCTTCATAACTCTCATCATCCTCACCACTGTCATCAGCTGTGTGTCCAGTTGGAGTCTGACACTCATCAAATCCACAGAGTTCTGCAGCACAGTTCAGTGAGTCCACTGAACTAGAGATGTTATGTGGGAAACTTTGCTCCGAGTCCTCTGTTGACCTGTCCTGCTCGGAGTCAACAGAGTCGAAGGAGTCTTGATCCGAGAGCTCATATTGTTGCAGCAACTCCAGCCCATCTGTGCATTCAGGTATAAACACAGACATTCCTGACTGCCCCAAACTGCCACTGTTTCCCTCCAATGTATCCGGATCAAACTCCAAAGACCCTGAGTGTTGATCAGTGGGTTCACATTGCAAAAATAATAGCAGGTGTTCTGGACAGTGTTCACAGCTAGGACTACTTTCGGAAGCTAAGTTATGATTAACACAGAGCTCAGAGGACTTGGACGATTTCAAACACTCACAGTGCTGAGCGCATTCAGCAAACAGTTGGTTTAATCCTTCAGTGTCATCGTTGAGGGTTTGATCTGATGCAATAAATCCATTAGTTGTAGTGTATTCCTTAAAAGTCTGTCCACTGCAATGTGTACATGATTCACTCTCCTCTGTGTTCATGTTGTCACGCTCCAAACAAAGAAGAGGAGGGTCCATTTCTCTGCTGACGCTCTGCTCTGTGTATTCCACAAGGACCTTTATGCTCAGTTCAGTGTTTGTCTTTGAAGCACCGCTCAGACCTGCAGCTTCGGCGTATTTTTCAGCAAGGATGGCTTTGGTAGACAGCTCCCCCTCTCCAGAGATTTTCCCTTGCTCAGAGTTTTCCAGATACATGGCGGAATCCCTTCTCAATCAAGATGGTGGCTCCTGAAAGTCTTTGCTCTGTGCATCAGTTTACACAGAGTCCAACTGGCAGGTAACTGTACAGTCCATCAGGAGAGCAGCTGAGACCGCGACCTGCCGGAGAGAGTACCAGCAACAGGAGCAGCGTGCACACTGAAGTGACAGGTTGTCACAACCAAAACTGAGACTAGCACTTGACTCGACCCTCCCTTTGCCAGACACCATGCAATTTATTTTGGGGGCCTGGAAAGACGTGACAAATAACTTCTGGAATATCAAATCTCTATAAAAGGCTGAACTAAGGCATAAATCTGAAACTGACACCTGAGAGTGTCTCGAGCACTTGATCTCCAAACCATAACTGATAGCAGGCATGTTGTTTTCCCAGAGAACACACAGTTTAACCAGAAGAGTATTGTCAGTTATCCAAAACTACTGTGTAAGTGATCAGTCATTGGTTTTACAACCACTCACACTTGTGTCTTACATTCTGTTCTGCATTGTAGACATTCTCATATGTTTTCAGTGCATTTTTAAATTTATAAAGGGCCACAACTTTAAACTATCTTCTGCCATTTTCTTTGACGTGATTCTACATCTAGTTGTTCTTAGATGCCACTGCAGCAGTCTTCAGGTCAAACATGCACCCTTAAAGCRTTTGTATCATTTCCACCCTTCTGGTAGCTCCTTGATTGATGTCTGAACATGGAGTACTTTTCAGCACAGCCATACGTTACAGTCCAGCAAGAGACGCTTCATGTGTTTCATGCATCAAATGACTGACGATCGTGCTGACCACATGCTGTTCAGAATAGGACGGGAGGAGTAGCTGAACACCAGTATCGATTTAAAATACTGAAAGATGAGCCTACTTTTGACAAAGACACTTTTTTAAACCAAAAGGGGGCGGGGTTATTTTTGACCAAAGGAGTCTCTTAGTCTGAGTCTGAGACTGAGACGGCAGGAAAGCCTGTTGAGAATGTTCGTGTCGTAAAGCATCTTTCAGTCCAAAAATCTTTAAGCAAATCTATAAAAACATTGATGAGCAGAAAGCAAATAGAATTTATTAATTTTAATCGTGATTCTTTCTGATTATTTATTTATTTATTGGCTACCAGAAAATGTTGAAAAGATTGGAAAATCCTGGTTTACATTTCAGTCCAGATATAGCCACGTGGTGACAGGCTGATTCATGTGGGGATTACTTTTAAGAATTTATTTAACTTGGCTACAAAATGCAAAGAAAAAGTTAAAGAAGAGTAATGAAACTGTGAAGAATCACCAAAATCACTTCGGTTATTTCTGTAGGTGAACAAATGCATGCAGCTGGCACTTGGTCATAAACAATAACTTATAGACACATTACCCTTTGAAATGAGTAAAAACTGTGCTTTGTCCAGTCTTCGTGGTTTTGCAGAAGTAAAAACTTCAAACTTTAAAATCTCTTTCTTTAAAATGTAATCATTYTGAGCTTGCTATAACAGGTAAGACATTGATTCGAATAACCTTCCTACAAAACCCCACTTCAAAAGATGTGAACTACTACTTTATTGTCAATTTAGCAATATATCTAAATGAACATTTTAAAACCTTGTTTCTTAAGCACTGAGGATTTTATTTTTTGTTTTATTTTTTTCAAAATTCACAACCTCCTAAGTAATACTGGAAAATTCCACCTGCTTCAGTTGCAGATATCAGATTTGCCAACTGGCATATCTGAAATTTATTGCTTACTACATTACCTTTTGCAACATGTTTGCCAACATCCTGAACACAAGTAGGAACAGCTCCTGGCACAAACCAGAAAACATCCCATCAGCTGGTGTCCAAGTGATGAAAGCCAGCATTTACAAAGAAAGAAAAAAAAAGCTTTGACAAATTAGGTGGCCTTTGATGGCCAGTCAGAGCTGTCAGCTGAGGCATTAGTGTGCCGCTCACGCTGCACTAAACGTCTTTCATCTGGGCGAGCTCCACTGTGTGTCTTAATCTTGTCTGCCTATTTTGTGTGAGGAGAGTAGAAACAAGTGATTGGCGATGTCCAACAAACAATAGATGCTAATTTTTTGTGTGAATAAAACTAAAAGTGTGAATATTGAAGGTAAAACACAACATTAATTCCATATGTTTCAGTTTGATATTAGTTTTTGATCTTTAAATGACCACAAATAAACAAACAAAACCATCCTCACAATGAACTTTACTAATCTCTACATAAGGCCTAATTTTAGTCTGACCTACATTCAAGTCATATTCCCTGTGGCTTTATTGTGTTGATGAGCTCTTTCAGACCTGCAGGAGTAAAGGGCGGTTCTTATGGACAGGCCATGCTGTCCCAGTTCTGAGAGGAAAGAAGTTTTGGTGCATCATGTGTGTGATAGGAAACAGGCAGGTGAAGCTTGTAGCTCGTTACAAAACATCATGATGCCCAGTGCAATGCTTCATCTCTTACAACACGTCACAGTGCTTAAAATAGCCTGTCACAGGAGCTGCTCAAAGAGGCTAATGATTAGATTCTATATTACATATGAATGTGTAGAGCAGTGTACTGAGCCATAAAAAGTTACAAAGTCTTATACAGCAGGGACATCTCACATTACATAGTTGTTCTGCTTGCAGTGATCCAGTCTGCATGTGCTGCTATTTTCAAATTAACAATGAATTCTATGTAAAGAACTACATGATGTATTTTGCTGGCAGAATAAAAATGTGTAAAATAACCTTAAACTGTCAAGTCCAAAGGCTTTGTTAAAAAGGCAAACTGTAATTTGTGTACAATTTGTTGAAACAACAGACATTTACCAACAATTAGACATAGTGATCAAAGTAGCATTTACAAAACCAGCACTGCAGTCCCTRCTGCATGGCACTAATGTGGCTAAAACCAGTGTGGGAACCTGACCCGTGTCTACGTACCTCCTCGATACATTGGAATGCAGAAGTTAGCAACACTAAAAAAGCAATGAAATATGGCTGTGCAAAATAAGACGGCAAAGTCCTTTTAACACATGCCTGTCAGAAACTTGTGCTAATCTTGTCTAGACCACTTTAACATGACCTGCATTGGCATATGGAAGACTAAACACATTACAGAGCTTAAATACAACCCAGAATTCATTGAGTCTTTCCAAACTAAAGCTTGTAGAGCAGAAACACATTTTGACTGATCAGCTTCTTGCCACATGAGTATCCTGATCTGATTGCAGGTGACTCATCTGTAAAGAACGCCCAACTAGAGACAACTGTTTCGCACTTGTCTAGCACTTCTCATGGATCCCGTCGCCTGGAATCATGTTTAAAGAGCAATAAAAGATTTCCAAATGCGTTTAAGCACAGTTCTTCTGCACCACATTCTCTCGTCAACTCTCAATTGTCCACGTTTGTACTATAACTAGGTAGCAGAAAAGTAAGACGGAAACTCTACAGCAACAATCCTCACACGTTCCTGTCTAAGGTTCTCAGAGACTGATAATGAGGTTACAGCATTTCCAGGAGGAAGCAACGACCTTGTGACACATGTTTTAGCTTACGTAGCTGAAAGCGGGTTTATCTGGAACCCTTTTCATGCAACACAGGCCCCCCTGTGCCTGCTGCTTCTGTTCCTATCCAGGTGCAGAACAAACGAAGAACTCATACGACTGACTTTCTGCCACTCAGACACCTGATAGTCCTAATAGCACGACAACTCTCCTCACACCCCTCTTGGCAAATTCACAGGGGCAAAGCCGCTCTTGGGTCATTTTAGACCAAGGTTGTCTGAATCTGAAAAAAATAATCAGACTGCCTGAAGTTAATTCTTGATCATTCTATTTTTGGTGACCAAATGTTATTGATAGATGTAGAAACATTTTCTTTATCTGTGGCCCCTCACTTCTAGATCAGAGCCACACTTTGGACTCGTGACATCTTGGTGTGTGTAAGCTGAGAGCTTGCAGGAACGGGGTTGGACTGTACTGCCACCATGTGGCAAATCTTTGGAAGAAATCAAGTTTCCCTAAGACTTTCTCTAGGTTCTGCACCATCTATCTTTCTTCAAATCTGACCTTTTTTCCTTATCCTGCTGATGAAAATCATCCCCACAGCCTGATTCTGTCACCACCATGCTTCACTTTGTAGATGGTGTTCTTAGAATGGTGGAAGGTGTTAGGTTTGTGTCAAACATATTTATGTCGCCACTGTACAGAGACTAGCATATATCTCAGTCACAGTTATGGCTTTACATAATTTAAATCATATCTATCAGACATTATCAGTGTGCTTTCTTCTCAAATACCAAAATTAAATATGGTGTTCCTCAGGGTCCTGGACTTGGTCCAATTTTGTTTTGCATGCATGCTAATGGAATTATGACACATTTCATCAAATTTGATAAATGTAGATGAAATGTTTACATCTTATAGGCAGGCAGACCTTGTTTTGAACCTAAAAATGCCACATTGATTCAGTATATTTTGTTTCCTTTATTTGTCAGAACCTTAACATCGGTCATGCTGTTTCCATGCCAGACCCAGAAATTTCACAAATGAAAAGCTGAAGCTGTAGCCAACACACTCACTCAATAAATGGACAACTTTAGCAAAACACGCACACGCGAAGCCGTCACAGTCAAAATAAAGAAGTCAATCATTTAACTATTTTTTTCTCTCAAACTTCCATCATGAGGCACTGCAATACATTCACAAAAAATGATCTGGTTTTAATACAAAATGTGGAGAAACCCTGTTTTCTGCTTACAAACATCTGTCATTTCAGTTTTTATTTATTTATTTATTCCATGAACTGCAGACATTTATCATTCAATGCAATGTTTGCACTTGCATGCTTTTCTTGCATGATTTTATTCAGGCTGAATGTAATTTCCTCTACAATAAGTTAGGCTGCATAGAAAAAAACAAATGACTACTCTGAAAACAAAATAAGCTGCAGACAAAGGGCAAGAATTTATTTAGCAAAAGCCTTATAGTAATGATAAACAAAACTAGTTTCTACTAGTTTCAGCCAGTGCACATATTGATTTAAACAAGTCACATTTTTAATGTACGATGCAACTTTACATCACCCAAAAAAAGACTCAGCAGCCACCAACTTTTGATTTCTTAAATTGATTGTATTATTTGTTAAATGACTTCAAATGTGCAAATATGTGCTTGATATTAACGTGTCAGAAATAACATGCTGCTCTGAAAGATAAACATGCCTTCAAGAAGGAAGGAAGTATTCATAAAAGAGTTTATGTAAAGAGTAAAATAGCTGATTTAAAATCAGTTTAATATTGGCGTCAATTTGATATTTGAAATATGACAGAAAAGATTTAGGTGATCTTGTGTATTTACTGAGGATCATTTTCTTTTGATCTGGCAAAGACATGATTCATTATTTTATCTATTTATGCAACTTATTAATTCTTCTGTCGAGACCATTTAAAAGAAGGAAATGTTGCAATCTCCCTATGTTAATGATTTAACTTAACATGCAGTCATAAAGTATTTAATTAGGAGAATAAATGTTTTGTTAAAATGGAACATTACAGTTTGCCTGTTTGAAAACTGCATCTTAGCAAAAAATAAATAAAAAAATAAAAATAATAATTATGAAAGCAACTTCCATTTTGAAAGCAGTAGCTTTTTAGGTTGAAAATGATGACTAAAATAAAAACTCTGTGTCTTTTCATCGTTTTTTTGCTGACTGCTGCTCATTAAGGGCACTTAGTGGCACCCCCAGCTTCTCCAGTGAGTTTGAAAAGCGATTCACTAATTGCCTTAAAAACTAAACAATTTAATAAGAATCTTCTGCATGCATGTTTGGTATTGATATTAAAAACATGTGAAGCTCCTTCTCTGAAAGACTGTAAATGTATGTGTGGCACTGGTTTGGATGAAGAAGCTTAGCTTAGAAACTAGCTTTTCTTCCAGTCTGTGTGAGCCCTGCAGGGAAATGTTTGTGCTGTCATCCTCACTGTTGGAGGAAAGAGTTTTTAATGGAAGCTCAAAGATGGGGATCTAATCGCAAATCTAAAAACAACAATTTCTGTACTCTGAAGATTTAGACAGTCATTGGAATAAAGGGATGCCTACATCATTCTTTTCTAATAGCCCTTGTAAAAAAGCCACTTATGAATCTTGTAAACTTAGTTTATATATATATATATATTTAAAATAAATCAAGAGGAAAATAGAAATCCTTTCTTGAACTGCTACAGTCTGGACAATCACTGAGCTGCTACAGCTATTTAAGAGCACATGTAGCACTGAGGACAACTATCTGAACAATATCAAACATTTCAGGTTGCTGGGGAGCAGAATTAGTCATAACTGACTGATATAGATAGACCAGGTTAGATAAAGTTATTTTAATGTCACAAGCATGAAATTTGTACTTTAAATTTGGTAGTGGACATTGTTTTGGATTCAGTTTAACTCAGTCACTCAGTATTTTCTACCTCACCTGATGTTATTTACATTAACACTCAAAGAAATCCACTTTAGACTTGTTATAGCTGGTTGCTTTTGTTGTCTCATCAGAAAAAAAGGTGATAAACAAAAAAATCTAAAATAGAGACAGAGTTGCAAACCTTGAGGTATTAACTTGAGGACAGGATTCYCCCATGTATGAAGAAAGTTCATACTATAAAATACAGTCAGCTCTTTGAAAGTTCATTTTTGTCTGAAAACGATTCTTTAGGTTTCGTTTGGAACCAGAGGACAGGATCGATGCTCCTGTTGATCACAATTGCTGCTGGTTTTTGTGAGTAAAGTTTTTTTAAATGAACAAGCTTCTGGTCCAAAGTCTTGTCTTGCTCTGGGGATGTTCCCTGCCTCACCCGAGAAGTCCTGCCAACTGATGTCTGGAAGCCTGTTTTCACTGGGTGACAGGTGTGGAGGGTGACATTGGCACAGTTGGCGTAGTGGGACTGGTGGGAGTCTGTGGCGAGCTCTGATAGGACCGAAGGAGGACTTTGTGCTTGGTGGCCACCTCCTCTCGCCTGCGCTGCTGGTCGGACAAGAATTCCTTGAGACGGGTTGTTGTAAAGGTGAGAGTCTGCCGACGAAGGCGCATCAGGTACGCATCCTGTAACCAGGTGTGGCTGAAGCAATCTTTGATGGACGGGCGGGTCCTGGTGAAGAAAAAGAACCAAAATATTCAAAGATTTAAAAGTTTTCCAAAGTAAAGTTTGGATTGATTTGTTCATTGTTCAGAAATAAGGTCTTCAGTTGTCTCTTCTGTGAGCGGATGCTTAGCTTGATTCCACTATAAGAAAACCTTTCTGATTTTCCAACTTTGCTGTTTTCTGAAAGTAAGATGCTGAATATATAACCTTCCAAAAAGAAAAAGAAAAGTACAAACCCAGTGTTCAGCTTACCAAGGGTAGCTACAGAGGATCTTTTTCAGGAAGAGCGAGGCACTTTGGGACACATTCTGATAGAGTTTAGAGAGGTCGAACTTTGTTGCCAAGATCCTGGCTTCAGTCTCCTGAGGATCATTTTCCATAAAAGGCGACCTGCCGCTCAACCTGGAAAACCAGGAAAAACAGAGTGTCTCATTTCAAACAGTCTGTGAGAGCTCTCAGTTCAGTCGTTAACTATGAACAACAGCCATGCTATGACAGAAGGGTTGAAAATCAACCTGTATTATCTGAAAGGAGAGTGATCATGTTCAGTAATTGTCTGTGTGTGTTCATGTGTTTGTCTGTTTGCAAAATATCTTGTGAAAAAGTGAACAGATTCTGTGACGATTATAGATAAATAATTTCAGTCAGCCCAAATAAAAATGCCAACCCCAGCTAAATGAATGTAGCCAATCCAAAAGTGGCTATAACTCAGTTAATTTTAAAAATGCTGAGCTAAAATCTGATGTGGTAGTAGTTGAGAGTCATCCCCAACACATATTCCAAGCACATATCAAGCAAAAATTTTGTTTAAAAACTTTGGTAATACCAATACTTTAAAGTAATACTAGCTTCATTTAAAGCCATTTTTTAGAACAAAAGGATTTCCCRTTTAAAGAGGACTTAGAAGGGAAGCTATAGCAGAACTCACATGATGAAAGTCAGCACACCCACACTCCAGATGTCAGCTGGWGGACCAACAACATCCCCTTTCAACATCTCTGGAGCTATAAAGACAAAAAGGCAAATGCATTTGTTCTTTTTTTAACACTCTCAAAAACATTTTTGCATCACATTCATATGACTKCATTACTTTTATTGTATAATCTTGAAGCATTTTGTGTAAAAAATTTAATTTACAACACTACTCCTTTTATTTTCAAAGAGTATGTGCATACATACAGTTAATAATATGTAATTTGACTGAACACAAACAAAGCTCTTACACATGTACTCTAGTGTTCCAATCGGAGGGCTGAATTGCTTGAGGAAGAGGGGGTTGAATGTCTGAGCACTTCCAAAGTCTATAATCTTGATAAGGTTCATGTGAGTTACAATGATATTTTCTGGCTTGATATCCAGATGCAGGATGCGCCGAGCATGGAGGTAGTCCAGACCCTGAAGGATCTGAACAATATAAGCCACCACATCRTCCTCTGAGTAACGGAACCTGAAAGACACAGGAAAGCATCTTGTTAAATTACTCCAACTGGCAAAGTAATCACTCATATTTGTCTTTGAAGATAACAGCATCCRCCAAGACYTTTCTGACTAGGAACCAGTTTGTCACCTCTCAATCAGGCTGTGGAGCAGCTCCTTCCCACTGCAGTATTCAGAGATGAGCACTAGGTAGCGTGGCGTGACGTAGGCCTCATGCAGAGCCATGATTCTGTCGTGATGAAGGGACTTGAGGATGTCGTACTCCTGAAGCACTGCTTGCTTGCTGTCTGCCTCATACGGCACAATCTTAGCCATAAAGAGATTACCTGTGGCATTCTCACGGCACTCACGGATCACACCAAACCGACCTCTGTGTGAGAAAGAAATGCTATACAATTACCTGAGGGGGGAGAACAGAAAATGCTAGACAGTTTTTAGTGAGCTGAAGACAACTGTCTTCTTGTAAGTGGTACAACAGCTTTAAAACATCAACACTGAATACCTGGCTTTCTCATCCATAAAAGTATAGGGTTTCTGTGGAACCCCCTGGCGCAGGGATCCCTCCCCAGGCTTGCCCAGTGGTGTCCTGCGTCCTGAAGGCGTTATACGTCCAGTTGGGGTGACCCGTCCAGACGGTGTGCTCCGGCTGTCCCCTCCCTGTAAAACTGGTGTCAAGCTCTGCACCACAACAACAGGGGGGGAAAGGGTCRCAGGTGTGACTGGGGAGACTGTGGTTGTTGGGGGCGGAGCAGATTGAGAAGGCGTCGTTGCACGAGCTGACACATTTGGGACATACATCGGCACAGATGAAATAGGTTTCCCGATGGTAGGAGCGGATGTTGGARTGGGGGAAAGGGGTTCGTTGGAAGTGAGTGCTGGACTGTGAGGTTTGGGTGGAACAACGGGCGGAGGAGTCAGCTTCACCTGAGGTTTACTCACACTGATGCTAATCGTGGTCTTGGCTTTTGATGTTGTGACTGGGGCAGTGGTGAYGGTCTGAACGGGAGCTTGTTCAGCAGAAGTCGGGCTTGCTGGCACTGTTACCGCAGATTGACTGGCGCTGACTGGCTTAATGTTTACTGGGGAGACAGACTTTACAGAGGAGAGAGGAGCCGAAGCTGATGGAGGGGCAGGTTGGATAGTTGTTGCTGTTTTACTAGCAGCTGGTTTAATGGGAGGCACTTTCATGGATGACATCAATACAACAGGGGGAGGAGGACCAGTAGCAGGAACAGTCTTGACCACCACCCCGGCACTGGCTTTAACTGGTTCTAATAGACAAAAAATTATAGGAAATATGCATCTGAGAGACGTGTTATTCAGTAAAGATTATAATACCACACAGTGCTGTTGTAAAGTAGAATACATTTTTGTCACCTTACAGAAAGCATACCCATCATATTTAAAATATAACTTATAATGGTTAGAAAATTCCTGGTCTGAGACTTTCAAAAAAACTGCACTGACAGAGTACACACCTGTAGATTCCAATCTCACAACCTCTGACAGGTTGCTGTAAGGACCCTGACCAGCTTTGTTGACACATGCCACCCTAAACCTGAAAGCGCCCCCTGCTGGCAGGTCAGTCACATTGTAATAACAGTCTGCCACTCCTGTTGCCACAATTAGCCAGTTGTTTTCACCTAAAACAAAGTGGATGAAACATGAGTATTGATTTTGTTGTAAAATAGGAGTACAATTCCCCAAGGATGCTTTTGGAGATATATTAATTTGTGGTCATTTGAAAGAAACAAAACTGTCAGTAATAGAGCTGCGTACCTTCTGTCTTTCTCTCCAGAGAGTATGTACATGGGGCCATTGTGTCTGAGGGCCTCCACAGCACCAAAGCTGTGTTGTTATACTTTTGAGGGATTTCTGGCGTACCAGGACGATTGGGCAGACCTGTAAAACATATATTGCTATTATCAGTTCATACAAGCATATTTGTTCAGTAACAAATAGTAAACGCTTTGTCATGTTTAAACTTACGAGCGAGCGATATAGTGCAAGAGCTGGACACGGAGGCCAAGGGGTTTGTAGCTACACATTCATAAATCCCTGCATCTTTTTTTGTGGTGTGCATGATCATCAGCAGCTGCCGGCCATCAGGGCAGGAAATCATATTCATCCTGGCATCAATCTCCAGGGGTTTCTTGTCTGAGAGAAGTAATGAGAATGCTTTTTGTATATAAGCTCTACTACTGTTAGGTCATATTGCCTTTTTTAAGGTTCTACCTTTCAACCAGGTGACATGTGGGTGGGGGCTTCCTGCGGGCAAACAGCTGAGTGTGACTGGATCGCCCTCCAGAAGAACATGATCCCTTAACTTGATGTGAAATACTGGAGGAAAGTCTGACAAACAACACCAATTAAATTACATTTACAACCCTAATTCCAGTGAAATTGAGGTGTTGTGTGTGTGTGTGTGCGTGCGTGCGTGCGTGCGTGTGTGTGTGTCTTTATTTATGTTTTACACAATGTCCCAACTTCATTGGAATTAGGGTTGTATATTGTTATGACAGGTGAAAGTAGAAGTTGTTTTATTTCCCCCATAGATGTTAAAGCCTTGTCACTGAAGCCAAAATACACATTTCATCTCAATAGGAATGGAATGTTTGTTATAGCTTTGTAAATATGTAATGTAAACTGAGGCATAAAACTAACAGTTATTAGGCTGATAAATGGTAATGTGCTCACCAATACTGGCACTTGACATAAAGCATTTATTCAAAGACTGTCCCCTGACACTGATAAAACTCCAATAACATAAACAGAACCCCATCCAGTTTTAATGTATCAGCACCTCTGTGCCATTTAGCATAAAAATGAACTTCCTTTTACACTTTAACTATCTTCACTGTTTGGATGGCTGCATATTACTTACCAGAAACCAGTTTGCTGTACTGGCGTGAACATGACGAACTGCTGTCTCTGGAAATTGCTGTTGGTATATCAGGCTGTGATACTGTTTTATCTCTTCTCCCTCTTGTCAAGCCCCATCGATCCCAGCGGGATCTACGTTCAACCTCCACTCCTTTACAGAAAACAAAGTTATTTTACCCGTTTTTCAAATAAATTTTTGACCAAATGTGCTGTGAAGAGGATTCAGTACTGCCTCATACCTTTCGATGTTTCTGATTTTAGGCTTGACACAGAATCTAGAGACTCTGATGAGGCCCCATTACTAGCTTGAGATGCCAGCTGGTTCTGAGGAACAATGGAAGCTCTTGGAGCTCTGATCTCTGATGCTGAACGACGAAGCATCGACAGAATGGGTGTTCTTTTTGATTCCTTCTCCTCTGCCGTTTTCCTTTCCTCTGAGTAACTTCGGATTCTTGTAGATATCCCAGCCACTGTTGATTCAATCTTCCTCCTCATTGCCAACACTGGGGATTCACTGGGTTTCTTCGGCTCCTTTTCTTCAGATTCCATCGATCTATCACCTTCTCCATCCATTCGCATTATCTCTGTGTCTTTCTTTTCCTGAGAACCTCTTCTGCCAAGAGTCCAGGAGAGCCTACGTCTTGAACCAGCTGAATTGTCTTCTTTAGATACTTCATCCTTGCGCTCTGTTGATGGCGTTCTCTTCAAACGCAAGGACAGCCTTCTCATAAAACCTTGATCCTTTTCAGCTTCACGAAGGTCCTGGACTGACTTGGACTTTTCTTCAAGTCTCCTTGATGCAACTTCCAGTGGTGCACCAATCGGTCCAGGTCTGTATATTTCCTCTAGTTTCTCTGTAGAGCCTAAAGAGGCAGCCTGGGATCTGTCATCATTTTTTGATCGTGACAGAAATTTTAGACTTCTTGTGAGGGAAGATTCACGCTTTTTGAATCGGGCCTGAAATACTTCTTCAGATGTCATGTCTTCTAACTCTGGTTCAGCTGAGACCTCCTGCTGGGATGAAGGCTGTGTAAATGTTTTTGGTGGACTGGATTCTTTGGTGACCATTTCTGGTGATGCTACCCGTGAGTAAACTGCAGGGTGTTCAGTGGTTGATACGATGATGGGCTTTAATGAGCTAGGTAAATTAGATGGTGCAGGTGCTTCAGCTGTGCCTGGGACAATGATAGGCGAGGAGGGCCCAAGAGGTGGCTCATTTAGAGGCTGCAGTGATGGAACCATTATGGTCTGCATTATACTGGCATATGCAGACTTCCTCCCATCTGGAAGAACTTGTGGAGGAACTGAGGGTGTAATATATGTTGAAGCAATATTACTGGAGGGTTGGATAGGTTCTTGTGTTGGTCTCACCATAAATGAGCTTGTGGTTATGGTCATTTCAGAAGACTTTAGGGGGCTACTTGTTTTTTCTTCTTCATGCGTGACATACTTTACATCTTCGGAAGTTTCTTTAATGTTTGACTCAACATCATGGTCAACTCTTTCTTCTTTTACAGATTGCCTTTTTTCTTCCTGCACTTTTTCTCTTTCTTGATCCACTTCCATTTTCTYTTCTTCTTTGAAGGTCTGGGCGATATGAGGTGGAGTAGGAATTCTCTGGCCCACATTATCTGACTCAGTTATTGGTTCTTCTGAAATACTCATGTCCCTCTCTGAAAATCCACTTGTGCTTGATCTTTCATCAAAATTGCTATCTGCCGTCAGCCCTTCCATCTTTTCAGAAGTAGTCTCTTCAGGTTTTATGTCTTTCTCCATTAGTGAGTCTTGACTCTCTGTTTTGGCCGGACTTTCTTGAACAACAGACTCTGGAGTTGGAGGTTTTGGAGAAGGTTCTCTGGGTGTCTCTGGACAGGAATCTAGGGTTGGCTCTGTTAGAGCTGACATAGATATAGCCTCCTTTAGCCTTCGTTCTTCTATCTTTGCTACAGGAATCTCCAGAGGAGCCCCTAACCGACGATGTAAAGCAATTGGTTCTGAATCCCCTTGACTGAAAGAAGTACTTTTCCGTAAAATTTTTGGTTTAGGCACTTCATCTCTTGGGAAATCACTAGAGGCAGCTCTAGTGAGCGGCGGTGGGCCCAGGCGAGCAGTGCGAGAGAAGCGATCTGATGATATTCGTTTTTCATCTCCCATTCCTAAAGTTTCTAAAAGAGGTCCTCTCAATCCACTCATCTTGTTGTCTACAGAACCACCACGAAGCAGTCGCTGTCTCATGAGTTCCAGTTTGAGAGCATAGTCTTCTTGACTCATCTTAGCAGTTCCTGGGCTGGTGCTTCTTCTTGGTAATTCCATAGATACAGCTTTCTTCAGAACTCTTTGGCCATCCTCATTTTCTTCTCCAACTCCTTCCTCGGGTGTGATTCGGAGCAGCAGGGCACTGTCAGCTGAACCACCACGTCTTAGTTCTCCTCTTCTGCGCCCTCCTTCTGTTCTGTCAGACTCCATGCTCGATCCTCTTTTAAGTGGCTTTCTGGACAGCTCTGATTTTTGGGGCAATTCAGCAGGTGATTCTTCAGAAAAGCCCTTGTCATTGTCTTCTGATGACCTTCTCTGAAGACGGCTGTTGCCCACTATTTCAGTTGTTTCTTTTTCCAGTGCTTTAGGATCACACTCCATTGCCTCCTGGGCTTGGGAGGGTAATACAGACCATTTATTTTTTTCAATTTGCTTTCCTGTTGGCTGTTCACTGGTCTGAATGTCAGTCAGTGACATCCTTGACCCAGAGAAATCCATGTTAGGTGGCATAGGGATGAAAGGCAGTTCATCAATGTCTTCATCAGAATCTGAGGACGACGATGGCAAAGGCAAGCCATCTTTCATGTGCTTTGGAATTGCGATGGAGGTATGGCTCGAGGAATCATTCAGCAATTCTGGTATGGATCTCATAAACATTTTTGATTTATAGTTGATTATGGAACGCTGAAAAAGTAATCACAACATGTTATAATTTTAAAACATTTTCTGTGTTTATGATAACGCACAAACAAATTTAAAAAATCACATACCTGCCATTTTCTGCGAGATACAAACTTCTTTAGGGCCTCTGTATTTATAGCTTTCCCTTTGCTAAGTACCTATTAAATGATTACACATAAAATTTAGAAGTAAGCAATTAGGCACCAAGTTTAATCTTCTTATATGGAATCCACTGGATGATTATCTGTTTTTTGCTTACCTTAAACCAAGGGTGTCTGAGACATTCTTGAGTATCAGGTCTCCTAAAAATAAAGGAAAGTTCAGGTGTTCTGTAATTTTTGTTGTTGTTAAGCACTCTCTAAGAAGTCTAAGACTGCAATATTGAATCTTTCCAATGCCCAACGACCCCCATTATTGCTGTGGAAATAGTGGGCCTCATGCAAGAATTGTTCGTACGAACAGATTTGTTCTGAAGTTGTGTGTGCGAGTGATTTAGAAGAATTTGTGGCATTCACCAATTTTCTCGTATTCTAAGACTTTTTCAGATGCGAACAAAATTCACATGTGATCCAGACCTGTCGTATATTTTATGAGCAGTCAGTCTGCTGTTATCCAGATGGATTTTCTTCACTAAGAAGTGCACGGCTGCCCTTCTTCTGAATAGATGAAAACTACGCAACAAATTTAAAATATTTGACCAAAGGGAAACCAGAGCAGGACTAGAGAGAGATGGATAAGATTTAGATTTTTATTTCTGTGACTGTATATGACCCATAGGAGACACGGCATTAACAGCAGTCATCATTTCATTCCTTTAATTCCACAGCTCACGCTGCTAAAAATGACAGATTTTCTTTTCTGGATCTCTAAGAGCAGGACTTCAAACTCCGAACTCATAAAGTTCTTCTTTTTATTTTGCGATGTCATTTATGAATGAACACTTCCTGATATCTGGGGCAGGCCTTATATGGTGTTTTTAGGGTGGTAATTATGCTAATCTCCTCTTCTCGTGCACGAGCACTTGCATAGCATTCAACAGTTTACGCAGCTCATTTACACACTTTTCCTGAAGATAGAAAAGTTTGTTGAATCTGACGGCATGTTCGTACGAACCCTTTGTATGAACAAAAGTAAGAGAAATTTAGGATAAAAATACGAACATGTTCTTGCATGTGGCCCATTGTGCTTACAAATACAGTATATATAACACTTGTATTTTTTTGTTCTTGCCATAATAAAGGAAACAACAAAGGTTTAAAAAAACTAACTTTTGATTGTAACTTTATGAAAAAGCTGCTGCAAAACYAGGCGTTTAAATCTGCAACGATCACAAGCAACAGTCTGCAAAACTGCATTTTCAGCAATAAAACAGAATGTGTAGGATAATTTTTTGAAATTTCCAGGATGTTCAACATTAAATCTTATTGTTTTATTTTGTATTTCATGCAACCGTTGCAACAGTAAAACATCTGCCATCGTTTTCAACAGTATAATAAACAAAAAAATGAATAGTGATCCAGAATTGTTGCTCACAGCCTGTCTGCTACCAGCAGCTTTATGATGAACCCTGTCGCCTCTCGACAAAGGTCAGCGAACATGCTCTCCTCAAAAGCCACATTATAGTTCCTGATGTTCAGCACCGAGCTCCGGTCATTTTCCCCAGCGAATGGAGAAATTCCTGTCAGACTGATAATGAAGACAAATGGTTAAATTTCACCAGGAACGCACAGAAAGTTGCAACGGTTTAATGAAAACCTAACTTACCATAGGTATGCTAAAACTCCTACAGACCTAGAAAAAGAAAAAAAAAATACTTTTAAAAACATAAAAAACAACCATTCAAAATCTATCATATTATGAGACTCTACCATATGTCTGTAGCTTTTGAAACAGGAGTCTGATTGACGATTTCTGGTGCAACAAACTCTGGTGTGCCGTATTTGCAGTACTGAGCCTCATCAGGCGTGATTTCCACTGCGTTGCCAAAGTCACATATTCTGATTTGATCACTTTGGAGATCTGCCATGAGGATGTTATCAGCCTGAAAAAAAAACAAATATACACATATAAAATAGTTATAATAGATGAATAGTTTGACTTGTAGAAATATCTGCAATCTTTATCATGTGTGAGGATAAGAGTCTACCTTTATGTCCAAGTGTATGATGTTCAAACGATGAAGGTAGTCCACACCCTCCAGTAGCTGCCTTATACATGAACGTACCTGTTCAAAAGAGCATAAGAAGGACCAGAAAAACATACGTCTTTTCTCTACAAGGCCAGAGTTTTTTTTGTAATTATTGCTCACTGTTCTAAAAGTGGGCAATCGTGATTGTCTGTGTGTGTTTATTTTTCTGAATCACTGCATGCATTTTCCAAAAACCCTTAAGAAAGTAACCATTTGATGTCCATCTACGATTAATTAATGTTTAGAGTCAACACAATTCAAAATGGCTGACACAGATAAATAAATATAGTAGACCCAAAATTGGCTACAAGTCAGTCAGCTGTACATAAATTGAGCTAAACAGCGAAGACTGATTTTGCACAGCATATGCAGTATATATACTGGAATAAAAGAGCCCAAATTTAAAGTAATTAAAACCAGGACTTACGTCAGACTCCATTATTGTAGATTTTCTTGTAAATCTGTCCAGCAGCTCCTCGTGGCATCTTTAAAAGTGAATCAAGGCGTAGAATTTGCAATTAAATCATTGGCAAAATAATTCAGTATTTTACATATTCTTACTTCCCAGAATTAATTAAAGAATGTAAATCAGCCTCTCTGTTTTATCTGTTTGCTAAGGATACATTTCTGTGACGATGATGACCGARTTCTTCTTCTCAAAGGCGTCATGAAAGTAGAGGATCCTCTCGTGGTCCAGCTTGGACAGCAGGTTCATCTCCCTCAGAGCAGATTCCTTCTTCTTGGCCCGAGTAGAGATGAATTTGGCAGCGTAGTCCATTTTGTTCGTCTTCTGTGTCACACGTTTCACATAGGAAAATGCACCTCTGCGGACAAAAAAACCTTTCAGCTGAACATTTTCAGTGTTATTTTTTTTGGATAAATTTGGTTTTCACTGATTAATAGAAACTGAATTGGCTCCAGTGCAGGTTGATGTTTACCTTCCAATCTCCTTGCAGATGTCATAGTAGTCAGTCATTCTGCGCATTTTCCTCAGAATAGCTCGCTCATCATCCACTGGCTCCTCTTTGCTTTTGGCTACAAGGTAACATTGGTAACAATTTTAGTTTCATGCTAATTCATTCAGTTTATTTCAAGGCAAAACATTCAAGAGATTTATGCATAAGTCCAAACCATTACCTTTGTGAACAGTAAGCTCAGCTTTGCAGGACACAGATCCTGCTAAGTTCCGAGCAGTACAGGTATAGACACCCGAGTCCTCTGGATGAGCATTCAGAACCACCAAGGAACATTCATTATCATCGTACACAAACGTGTAGTGACTGCTCTCTGACAGCAGGACATCGCCCTGCAAGCAGATGCAGGGATTTTCAACAAAATCTCAAACAAAATTTAATACAGAGAAGCACTATAATACATATATTTATACTTTCTGCAATATCAAATCTATGTAAATAGTGATTATAGTGTAGACTTGCACGAAAAACGTGAAAGATCTGCAGCTGAAATGGATAAAAACCTTGAACCAAAGGATGTCAGGAATGGGTTTGCCATCAACAACGACAGCAAAGCGAGGGGTCTCCCCTGCACAAACATCCAAGTCTTCCATGATCGTCTCAAATGTCGGTGGAGCTGTGGTTATTGTTGAAAGATATGATAAAAGCTAAATGAAATTCAGATGGAACAGGCATGGATGACGCAGCGGTTAGAGCTTCTTCCTACCTGCCACCTCCACAGTGAAGGTGCAGCTATCGCTTCCATATTTGTTGGTGGCCAAAAAGGTCATCTCACCGACRTCAGAACTCCTCACTTTCAGCAGCTTCAGTGTGTGCTGGTTGTCATCTGGCATTGTCATTTCATACAGGCCTGGTTTATTGRCCAAGGTCACTCCTTTCCTGAAGACAAGCATGTTTGGAACGATCAGTGAGCTTACAGGAGCTCACGCAGAGGTTTTCACTTGCAAACTGAGCGTCAAATTATTTAAAAGAAACCAGGTGTACTGGTGTTTTTTAACTAAAGCCTATAAGAAACATTTGTAAAAAGTGCTATAATGAAAAATAAATACCTCTTCCAAGTGATAGCAGCACTGACATGATTGAGGGTGACAGAGATAATGACTGACTGGTTTTCAATCACATACACAATATCTGGTTTATCTATAATCACTGGCGCCTCCTGAAGGTAAGGGCCTTAAAAACAGAAAATATCTGATTAATTAATATTCCAAATGGAAGAAAGAACAGGTGCTACAAAAGCCTGAGTCTACCTCGGTCCAGAAGCTGCACTGGATCTGTGGCAGGTGAGGGCTTGCTGAAGGCCTTGGAGGTGATGGTCAGGACCCTGAAGGCATAGCGCACTCCCTTGGAGAGGGTTGTAATGGTGAAGGTGGTCTCTTTCAAGCCAGAGGCTATAATAATCCACTGGATGGAGCCAAGGGCTTGCTGTTGGATGGCATACATCAGGGAACTGGGGTCTAAAAGGTAAGGGGTTTTGAATCATAGAACATCAAAAGATTTCTTTAAAGAACTCCAATTTAATTTAACATTTTATTTTCTGCCTTATCATATCCAGCAGAACATAAATCTGCTAGATTAACATTTAAAAGAGAGTTACTTGGTTCAGAGCATGCAGAAAAATACAAACTACATGTAAAGTTTTATTAAAATCTGTCCAGTGGTTCATTGGGTGTTTTTCTAAAAGAYAGACAAACAAACTCACAATTATACAATAATTATTACTTTACATACCAATTGAAGGGTCTAATCTTCTTGGTTTCTTCCAGCTCAGAATGATGGTTTTACCAGTGATGGACTCGATGACTGGAGTGCCATCAGGAGGATCAGGGAGGATGTCTGAAAATCACAACATTGAATTTAAAGAAATAAAAGTCTTTGACGTGGCATGGCCTGAGACGTGGATCTTTTACATATTAATAACCACACGTTTGGAGTTAATTAAACAGTTTATGCATGTGTAAGGATGGGGAAAAAAGATTTACCTGTTACATAGAGATGTGCGTAGCAGGTGGCTTTTCCTACTTTGTTAGAGATGACGCTCTTGTAGACTCCAGCATGAGCATGGCACACTGAGCGGATAACCAGGCTGTGGACATCACGGACTGCAGAAGGTAGCAAAGATTTTTTTTCATTACAACTTGTAAAGAAAGTGTTGATGATTGTATGTGATGGTCCTGTGCAAAGTGGTGGATTTCATAATAGTAACACTGAAAAAAAAAGGTTAATACATTTTGCTGTAATTTGCTTTTAGGCTGGAATAAATGCTGTTAAAGTGATTATGTGATTGTTAGTCCAGTGTGAGAGACCTACACTGTGTCATTTTTCTGTCCTCTGTGCTTTCAATCCTTTTGCCGTTATGGAACCAGATGATTGTTGGGTARGGCAAGCCAGCCACTTTGCATTTAAGTGCAGCCTCCTTTCCCTCAATCACATCCAGGTCATAAAGGGGCTTGATGAAGTCAGGCATTGTGAATCGCTCCACCTCATTCTCTGGGACCTCTGGCTCCTCTGGGATGGACGGCATCTTCTCCAGTTTAGCCCTGAATAAAAAGGAGAGACAGAGGGTTTGAATAAATATTGTGAGCTCTGGACAGTTTGGTGATCAGCACAGGAAACACAAAAAAAATCTCTTACATCTGAGAGGAGATGGCTGGCCGAGGTTCTTGTATGTAAAGTTCGGCAGAGCTCTCCGCCTCACCGTGGCTGTTACGAGCTCTGACCGTGTAGAAACCCTCATCATCGGTGGTCACATGGGAAATAATCAAAGAATGGCGACCACCTTCTTGCAGGATATGGATGTCTTCACTTTCCACAAGCAGCTGGTCTGAAGAGAAAAAATAAAACAGAACAACATGCAGTCTAACAGCAGTCCAAGGCCTCTGAAAGGCAGTGGTGGGCACCAGTCCACTAAAATGCAAATCCGCTAACTGCGGACCTAAATATTTTGTTTGCGCTTTAGCGGTCTTACTGATTTATTTAATTCATAAGTGGATTTGCGCTTTCTAAAATTAAAATGCAGTACAGCTAATAACTAATTATCTACCAGTCATCACTATCTTGAACAGCAGAAGTTATGGCTGTCAATGACTCACAACACAYATGATTTATAWAACAGCACCCCTCTCAGATAAACACACTTATTGGAAACGTATACATCCTTGCTGACTGTTGCTYTCGGTCACGGTTCTGATTTCCCACAATGCTGTGTGTCTGTTTACGTAGCAGGAAGGCAATAGCAAAAACAGTAAASGTTTGTAATCCATACTAAAATTTTGTATGTATTGATTTATTTTACTTTAAAATCGGAGCTCCTTTTTTTAAAATAAAGTTTAAACGCTGGAGCTCAATACTTGACGTAATTGGTCAAAGCAAATCTGCCAGCGGGGTTAGACAGACATCTAGTGGTCAACTGGAGCAACTACATGGAAAACTTTTGTTTCCCATCACAAATCCAATCCGKCATGTACCCAGAAAGCATCGCTTCAGTTTTCCAATAAAYAGTTTTAAAATTWCTTTATTGATGCTTCTTTAATGAAAAATCTACAACAAACAAAAGAAAAAGACAAAGAAGCAGCCGAACTAGCAATCCTCAACAACTTTTTAATTTTTACACCAGGAGCCAAAGKTCTGTTTAAGGAAATCACATCCCCATTAATTGGAAGTTATAGGATTAAGCTGTACAAGGGTTCATACACCACTAGTTGACAGTGCTGTACAKATGTTGTACACAAATTGTTGTCAGCTAGTAAGTGTCAAATTGAACTTGTGCTTTAAAATTAGCTTCCACTAGTTTTTCTATKGCATAAGCGTTTTTGAAGTTGCGGACCTAAATTTTTTCATAAGCGCTTTAGAAATTGCGGAGCTAATTGTTGGGTTAGCGCTGCCCACCACTGCTGAAAGGCCTAAATCCTAAAAGATTTTTGTTAACAAATCAAATCTATTGTCCATTACACTGTCAGTAAGTGTTGTCTTACCAAAGTGACTCCAGATGACCTTGGGAGGAGGCGTTCCACTGACTTTGCAGTCAAATCGAGCGTTGCGACCCTCGATCACTTCCAGGACATCCAAGTTACGTGTGAAGAGAGGCTCAAAGGAGGGAATGACTTTGAGTTTACCGCATGATGTCARTTCCTCTACAAGTGGAAAAATAATTAAAAACAGAATAAGGTTAGATGTGAAAAAAACTCTAGTTGAACATCACTTTTATCATGGTACAATAAATCTATTCCAGGGACTGACCTTTAGCAGTACTGAGTTTGCACATGTATGTCCCGCTGTCGTCCTCATGAACTGAGTTGAGCAGCAGCTTGCATTTTCTTCCATCAAAGTGCATTTTACAGTTGAGCAGCGCCGGCTGGATTAGTTTCCCATCTGCAAGCCAGTCCACATCCGTGTCCTTAGGTCCAATCACGTGACACTCAAACAGAACGGTCTCACCGGCCTTCGCTGTGATGTCCCTCACTGGACGGATGATGGCCAGACCAGGCTCAACCGGAGGGGCTGGACAGAAAAAAAAAAAAAAGAAAAGTTCCTAAAGTGTGCTGTAAATTGTGTTGCCACAGACAAAACTGACATTTTTAATAACAAAATGTTCTATGAACTACTGTTTCAATGAAAATCGTAGAAAATAATCATGGTTGTACATCTGCAACTGATTAACAGATATTCTGCTAACTTACTCATAGCTGAGTCATGCTCAATTCATACTTCAAATGATGGGTTGCCGTTTGTAAAGATATACAGTCAAAAATTACCATCAATATTTTTGTTTTGTTTAGCCTTTTATAAGAAAAAAATAACAGATTTATTTTTCAAAGTCAGTTTTTCACTATGT